CAACACACGAACGGGCGACACGAGGCGAACGAACGCAACGCAAAAGTGCAACGTTCTGCGTCCGGCTCGGGACAGTTTTATACGGAAATCGTCGATGCACTATTTTAGTTTTTGACTCGTGATTCTCATTTTGCAGGCGAGTGGGAGGAGGAGATTAGCCCCGCCCGCAAAAAAGGATTCATGGAATTTTCGATTTTGTAAAGAAAAGAAAAGAAATTTCTAAACTTCTACTCACTTACTCATCATGGTCCCGTCACGGCTATAGTAGGCGTTTTGATGTTGCGCCTCACCAATACGGTGTTGTGCACTACCATTACGGTGCTGCGCACTACCAATACGGTGTTGCGCACTACCAATACGGTGTTGCGCACTACCAGCAACTCCAGCATCACCAGCAACTCCAGCAACTCCAGCAACTCCAGCAACACCAGCATCACCAAATCGCGCTGTACTCCTTCTACATGGAATTGTAGTATAGCCTAAGTACAGCCGAAGGATCCTAGACATGAACATCCTGGCGTTTTCCATTTTTTTCTCCCTCTCTTCTCTTCCTGATCGATCACTTCCTCTACAGTTTACTCAGCCTCTTGTCTGACACTTCCGTTGCAAAATCGACGAATCTAGAGCTTTTCCCTGCGACGTCACTGTACTAAGCCATAAAATTGACAACTCATTTTGTTGATAAAGGGCGAAAAAAACTTGGCTGTGTTAGTCATGGTCAGGGAATTTTATTGGAAAGAGGAATCATGACTAGTTGACCTGTACGAATTGCAGACATGAGCCGACTATGGTGACATTTTTCTTATCAGACAATTTTCAAAAAAACTGATATGCTGATTTCATGCACTTTCTTCCTGTCTGTGGCTTATAATTTCGACATTTTCGGTTTCATTTCCACCTTCTTGAAGTTGGGCAGAAAAAAATTGCCGTGTTAGTCATGGTCAGATTCTTATCGTAACGCCCTTAACCTTTCTAATGAAGCTAAGTCGATTTTAAATACAGAAATTGCTATAATTATGTGCAAAGTTTCTGTTGACTAG